CCCGGCTGCATGGTTGGCACCGGGAAGGATTGGAAGGTGCTAAGGGATGTCCTGCGCTCTGAAGGCTGACCTGGCCCTGGGGAAGAGAGATCTTGAGCGCTCGAGGCAGGGGAGGGGAAATCGGAGGGGGCTGCTGGAAGGTCAGGAACCAATGCTTGAGAGAGATTTGAAGGGAACTGGCGCGGATCAGAGCTTAGGTCTACCATACCAGCTGAGTACGTGGGTGGGCTTGGAAGGCCCGTACTAGATGCAGCTGTGATATTGCCTAATTCAGCTCGTCGTGTGGGGGGAACAGATGAGACTCTGGAGGGGTGGAGGGATTCGTTTAGGAGTGACTGTTGTGCTAATCTTCGCTCCTCGTTGTCAAACTCATCCGGGACATCTTCTACGGACGGTTGTCGTAGTTTGACTTCTGGCACCGATTGTGATGGGCTCCCATTTAGCGCTTGAACTTCAGGATCATTGGGGTCCAAGGTGGGCCCGTCTCGTAGGTTTTCCTCCTCCTCCTCCATCGACGGATTCGATAAATTCGGATCCTCCCCTGCCTTAAGCGCTTTGGCAATGCGCAAAGCGTGATATTTTGCAAATTTAATCTTGGCAGCTGTTTCTGGATCTATCGACCCCCATATCTGGCATAGCTCTAGGAATGTGGCCGCAGCTTGGAACGTATCCGCAGTTTGTCTAATCAAAACAATCAGCCAAAAATCGCACGTACAGAAGCTAGGGCTCTAGGTCCGCTGGCGAACAATGAAGCTTTATTGGCCCGAACAGCGTTGTCAGCCCGCTGGAAAGTTTCCAACCCAAATTGCTCCACATAAGCCTGTCCAGCAGCGTCATCGATGACGGTATCATCATCAGCGTGTTCGGATTTGAACTACAGTGGATATCACAAGATAAGTTAACCCAGATAATCACTATCTACGTAGAGAGCACGGAGAACACAGGCCAACCAACCTTCTCTAACTTATCCATAAGATCTGTCGTGTATTTTAGGCATTCGCCATCTGTATTGTGGAGTCCCTTTGATAGTATTTGGTTCACAGTCCAATAATTGCCTGTAGTTAAATCTCTGAGTATCAGTCCCGTTCTGTTTGATAGCTAAGGGTCAGCGTTGAATTAACCTACACCAATATGAAATCACCGGCTTCAATTTCTCGAGCTGCGACGCTCGAGTGACAAAGCGGGTGATATCCGCGGCTTTCAGTTTCGTCGGAATACCAGTTGCCATGGTGTGAGGATTTGAATACAGCTGCTGAGTAGCAAGCGCCAAAGTACGGATTGCTGGTTGTTGAAGACGGGAGCTTGCAGATATAGATGACGTTGGTGGGTGAGAATATTAGTCATCAGACTGTTAGTGCCAACCTTAATGGCGCCATTATAAGCAGCTAAGGCTAGCAGCCGTATCTATGTATATTCTCGATTTCGACGTGCCCAATGAAAATGGTACCTTAGAAATATGAATGGTTCATGGTTGCTATGCTATCCCTCCCACTACTCTCTATTTAGTGGGCTATGGCTAGAACGTGCACATACAGCATGCCTGTATGAAAATGGAAGATTCAACAGCCAGAATTACGGGAGTCATGTATTCAGCCATTACCGACTCCCCATGGACCAATCGTCACCCTCTCCTCAGACAAGATCTCCAGCTCAATCGTATCATGCACCTGACCACCAGGGCCTCCAACCCGTTCCACGACAAGCCACAGTCCCCCCTGACGTTCGAAGCCAGGCTGCAAATCGAATTCCTCTATGCGTATTCCACTGACGGCATTGCTAAAACTCCCATCGCCGGATGATGCTAGTATATCCTTATACGGACCCTTGTTCTACTTCAAGAGTCATTAAAATCGGCGGACGGGGGCGACACTCC